ATTTGCGCTGCTGCAAAATCAACACAAGAYACGTCTAAAGCTAAAATGACCACAACAATACGCAAGAAAACGCGTTTAAGAGTCTTTATTCTCAGCGTTGCAGCAAAATCAAGACAGAAGACATTGTTAGGTTAAARTAAAAATAACCAATATCAAGACCCAGTACACAAATGAACGTGTTTTCTAACGAGTTTATTATAAAAGTCTAAGCTAAAAATCAAGACAAGACGCACTTTTAATGTAAAGACTCGAGAAATACCTGTAAACAATGTGTTTTCGAAGGAATTCTATCGCTCAAAGCTCATCGTTATTTGACGTACTTGACAAGAACCAACAGCGCCCTTTTAATATCTTTGCTTGATATGTGCTCAAAATAAACCGCAAAAGGAGTTTATCGCTTCTACGGAAAAGTTTGTGAGATACGTACCTTTTTAGCATGAGACTTTGGTTCTAATTCCAGCAGCATTTGTAATACCGGGTTATAAGTGTAGCTGGCTAGTTGAAATTGAGTTGAGCTCCGAGGACGACGTGTGCATAAACGCACGTGCACTTCTCAACTAAATTGCAAGTGCACACTAAATTTAGTACATTTACGCTTCGACTATTTTTCACTAAATTTTACTAAATTTCACTGTTTTAATTTAGTGTTTCACGGATATATTGCTTGCACTCTAGCAACGATTTGAGTAGTTTCAKTACGCAACGAACGAATTTCAARAAGAACCCTAAAAGATCCCGGAAGGGCGTGGTTGGCTGATTTTTATCCCCTAAGATATTTGGCTGGGAAAATGGGATTGCCCGATGCACTGGGACTGGGATTTTTAACTCTGGCTACTGGGAATGAGAACCAAAACATTGAATGAGAGTGGGATTTATATATTTAATCTATTTCAAAGGACGTAAAAAAATCTAGAAAGATACTAAAAATATTGGCAAAGCAATTTACACAAAAATGAACCATTTATAGTACAGGTTCTAGCTAAAAAAAACTTGTCTAGTACAAAAACGACATAACTAAACATAAGGAAGCCTCGAATGTCACAAAATTAGCATTTCAGAAACGTTGATTTATTTGTTTATTTTGAAAATTGAATATTTCTATGAGTGTGGGGTACTCCCATATATTTGCTATACGGGGATGTGACGCTGGCCAGGGTATGGTTTTTGGCCTTGCTATCTTAAACAGGGTATACATTTCACCCTAAATTGTCTTAAACAGGGTCTACAATTTAGATAAAAGACCGATATAATTTTTTTGTTTCTCGGGACGGTAATATTTTCATAACAAATACCGTAGAACGAAAGTCTAGAAATAGT